TGTTGAGTTTGTGCTATATTTATTCATTATCGTCGGGGATTGTCATCGCAATACAAAAATAATATTACGCAGCGCACTGATCCCAACAGTTACCACGTACTGATTTCTCTTTCCTTATTGTATTATTTCAAGAAACAATTTTAGAATATTTTAATAGACTACTATCTTTTTAGTAACAATTTACTTAAACATAAATGTATGGTGTAATAATAAAAACCGGTGAAAGAATATCTACTACGCCATATCGTCTCCTGGATGTCATAAGAGGCGACAGAGTGAAGCATTCAGGAGGCAGGCAGCAGCGTGCTCCTAATAACATCAAGGAAATAAAAAACTATGATTGCCTTCCAGGCGAAACAACTATGGTAAATATCTCTGTTCTATACAGAAATCTATGGGGAGGCCTATTTTTCTTGAGTTTGTACCTCTTATTAGTTATTAGTTTGTGGCAGCGTTATTCCTGACAAATTTAGAGTTGTCGTATTCTAATTCTAAAATTGCCGGATTTTTAAGGAAAACTGAGAAAAATGCCGTGTTGTACAAAATATTTATTTAGAAGGATAAAATTTCTACATAATAGATAAGTGTGTACTATAGTTGTACTAATTTATTATTCGCCATATAGGTATTGAATAGTTTTCAGTACTTCTGATTCTGTCGCATTTAGGTCGTACTGTTTTTTATTGTTCATTTTACGAATCATTTCATTTGGCACTTGAAATTGTGTATAATTACTGTGATTACGGATTGCATGTCTGGCCAGAAGAGTTCCATTAATAGTTGAAATCATTAATTTCGAAGTCTCGGTTTCTTATTACTCACTTCACTGAAGATACATCGAAGATACTCGCAGCAGACTGCGAGCTTATCTTCAGTGAAGGCGTTCGAGTGTGGCAGACATAAAACATTTAAAGCAAAAGACGCTAATGTTTTTAGTTCTTTCCCATCACGGATTTTAATCCAAAACTCATCGGTTTTCTGTGAGCTAATTTCATATAATGATATTTTATCATCAATTTTTGGGAAATCGTCGGAAATCAACGTTTGCATAAACGGTAAAATGGATGGACATAAATATTTTAAAAGTTGAAGTAAATCATCAGAGAAGTCGTACCTTTTTTAAATTTCTTTGCAGCCTGTGATAAGGAAATTTCTGCAGTAGATTACTGGTTTTTGTGTTTTTATCATAATTTTCACCCCCAAAGGGGAAAGTTTTGTGGGAGGAGATATTGCGTATCTTCTGGGATGATTCAACTGATATTATTTTCTTGAACATAATTCTTTGCACGTAAACATTAATAATTCTTTGTACGTTACTCTTATGTGTTCATCCAGTTCCACCAATTTTAAGTCTGGGCTTTAAAAGTACTCATTGAGCTTAATAAATTTTGGTAATATTCATTGCAGAAATAATAAATAAAGCTAAAAAATCGTCATGCAGCACACGGTAAATTAATTCTGCAGCTACAGTTTTTTCTTCGAGCAATTTCTGCGTAAAAATAATTTAAGTCTGTTCCACTGTTCAAGCAGCCTGTATGTAAAATTTTGTGGACTTTTGTGTTAGTGAAAACTTGAAATTCCAAATATTGGGCTTGGCCTTTTAAACTCAGTCATCTTGGTAATATTTTGCATGCCTCACTGTCACACAAATGAGTAGAATGGCATATACATTTAAAATAAATATTCTCGGCAAATTTTGTCGCAAACGGCTGCCTATTGAATTTTGTGATACCATCATAACGTTGCAGCCGTCTGACGCGAATCCTATAATATTTTCTCTGTCAGTAAATAATTTCTTCATCACTTTCCCACTGCTTTCTGTACTTCTGTTTTATGTGTTTACTTTTTACCTATTTTTTCGGCGTAGCAAAACAAAGCAAAACAAAGCATTATATGACAAAACTACAATAGGTAAAGCACAGTAACAATTATTCCGAGGATTCCACACATATCCTAGAACCTAACCGAGTAAAGGTAAGAGATAAGGTTGAATCTTTAGTTCTTTAAATATAGCTTGATTAGAATGACAGCGGTCATCAAAAGTGACGGTATAACTTTGTAGTAGCATCCAACGTAACCAGTGATTTGATTAATATTGGAAAACGAAAAATCATTAATTTGTGAACAATATTTTTGATGACACTTCTTCACTTAAAAACGTGAATAACACATAAATTCGGCTTTAAAATTAAACCAGTTAGTGTTAATTCATTATCACAAAAAATAAGCCTAATAATTTACTACCACCTTACAAGGTTACCCCAAGTTGCAAAAATGTTAGAGAAGGGACAAATCGACTAATGTGAATTTGTTAAATTAAAATAAATTTATTTTAATCATTGCTTAAAAAACATGTTTCTATTAAAAAAAATCATGCGTTCGTTTTTTTTAATATTGATATTACTGAGTATATTAAGCCAATCCGTTTGTTTGACCGTCAGTCAGTACGAGTGCCGAAGCCAGACGCCTTGTGTACGCTTTGTGTTCCCCAGTTGTTGTTTATTTCGTTGTGTTGAGTATTTGTTGTTCCTATTTTGTTATTGTTTTTTGTTTTGTTATTGCCTTTTTGTTGTTACAATGCCAAAAAGAACCAGAAAAACTGTTTTAAATAGCCAATCCTGCGAGTTTACGATTCGTTTGCGTGACTATTTTGTACGTGAATACAAAAATGGTGTATTCACGTACAAAATAGCCACGCAAATTATCTACTCCAAATAAAAAGAGAAAGAAACTTTGCTCTGTAGCTGACAGACGATTTCGTCGCCGCAGCAATTCGTAATCACATCTACGCATACTACACACGTAACGAGCTACCAACATTAATAAAATTAGCAGTTTTCCTGAAAGATGTTTTGTTCGGTAGGAGCCTACCATCTTGATCAACAATATTAAAAAAATTGGATTCTATTATAAAAAGAGTAACAAATAAAAAATTATTATGGAACGTAACGACATTGCTCTTGTACGCATTGTTTTTATACGAAAAGTGATAGATATCGATAACTGGTATAAAGTGGTGTTCCTGGATGAAACATGGCTGAATGCAAACCACACGGTTTATAAAACTTGGACTGACGATAAACCCGAATCGTCTACCAAGGTACCTGAGGGCAAAGGTCAAAGGTTAGTAATTTGCCATGCTGGTACCTCGTCTGCATTTGTACCAAATTGTTTACTAGCATTTAAGTCTGTCAAAACGACGGAGAACCATGAAGAGATGAATTTTAAAAAATTCGAAGAATGGTTTATAAAACTTCTAAATAATTTAGATGAACCCCATGTGAAAATAATGGACAATGTACCCTATCATTCAGTTTGAAACAATAAGCCTCCGACAGCGAATAACCGGAAGAATGAAATAATTTCGTGATTGCAAACCAATGGAGTACAAGCCGACGGCACTATGTTGAAAAAAGAACTTTTGCGTTTAGTGGGAATACACAAGTCCCAAACGCCAATATATGTTTTGAATGAGATGGCAAAAGATAAGGGACATACCGTTATCCGCCTGACACCGTATCATTTTATTTATCATTTCATATCATTACACTGCATCTTTTCCTCTTCCACGTCACGGCAGGCTTTCCGTGGACACTCGCTGTCAATAAAGAGTAAAGAATACATTTCCAAATGATAAGTAAGTTACTTAGGCAAAGTACCTATTCTGACTATGATCGACTGAACATATTTTTGCTACTATGTAAGTTCTGTGCTGCCCAACGTATGCAACTTGCAAAACCGTTCGTCACGAATCGCTATGCTTGACTCGGATGTAGCCCGAGGCGCCTTGCGATTATAGATAATTATTTCACACAGATAGCAAGGGTGACAGAGGCCTGTTCATAGTTATAGAACACATGTTCATATATATAACACGTGATATACGTAGTACTTCTTAATCTTATTAATTTTGTGGATATACCCACCCAGTATAAATAGTGTTCTGTATAGTAATACTCTTTGATATTAGTAGAGAAGAATTTAAATAAGCATTCGGTAGAATCTGTATAATAGGCTGTATAATCCACAGAGTACATTTATTTGGTATTCTATGTTGATAGTTCTAAACATGGGAGAGTTTTGGCGGGAACTTGTGTCCAGCGGCGGATTGCTGTTCCTGTATTATTGTTTAAATAATGGTTTGAAGTGGATTTTGATACGTTAAAGTGGTGCGATTTTGTGTATTAAATGTTTTTTTATAGTATAAGGGTGACAAACGAGCACACAGTCCACCTGATGGTAAGTGGTTGCTACGGCCCATAGACATCTACCTCTATTCTCGATTACGAATCAAAATGCAGATGCATTGTCACCCGTGAGGACTAAGATGTAATGCCTCATTTCCAGTAAAAAGGGTCTCCGGTTCTCTACACCCACCATACGAAATACAGCAGCGTTAAGCTGCTATTTTACAAGGGTATTCTGTGAGAGCGTGGTCCTTCCCCGGTCCCATTCTTTGACCCATTCGTCCTACAACTATACCTACTACTTATATAGCTTCAGCATGGCTCTACCACGCAAGATAATATGTCTGCGTATGTGAACTATTAGTGAAAACGTGAAACAAATGATCCGATGCAATGAATCTAAAAATAAAGTCTGTCTACTTAAGCGCCTTGAGATACTATCGCCAACTCTCCGTTGGCTCGAGTTGTCGTCAAAATCTCCCAAAAACTACGCAATGTGACACATCAACATATTGTCAAGCAGTGTACCATAAATGATTAATATCCCTTGATAATGAAATAAATGAACACACGGTTTAAAAAACACGCATCCAAGCCAAAAACCTCAAAGTTCAAAACGAACTGAGACGAACAAAATTTAGCTTACTACATACATATCTATTTATCTATGACAAAATTCTAGATCTCAAGTATATATAATAATAGTCTATGGTTTTAGAGTAAGTTTTTGATAATTTTCATAATTGTTGAAAACATTATTATTCCTTTCGTATTAAACACCAATTAAGTAGCCATAGTTAATTTGTTCTGATTATGAGCGAAAGAGAAAGTCTGGACCCACAATTTGAGGACTTCGTTCTTGCTGAAACGCAAAAACAACGTTTTCAGGTTATTGTTACTAATATTTCTATATAGTTAAGGCAATTATTAAAATATATAGTGTAATTATCTGCATTCACACATATTTTTGTGTATTCAATTTTCACCTCACTCGTACGTCGAGATGTTTTTTGACCTTTGCCCCTGTCCCCATCTAAAATAGATGTTTACTTGCATTTGTGGTAAACAAAATGGAAACTAAATTAAATGTCGTTTGTACGACTTGTATATTTTTCTAGTAATTAACCTGTTTAACTGTTTCCAGTGTCTTCATAGTAAATGTGTTAAATGCATCCATTTCATATCTCTTTATTGCATGACAGTGAAAAATTAATGACACACGTACTTTAATTTAATTTTGCCTAAATATAATGTTGCTTGATGTTGAGTACCTACTTATTTTGTGTAATAATAGCTTACAATATTTATATAAAGATGTTTCTGTAGTATTTTTCCTTACTATTAACAGATTTAAGAGTATAAAATAATAACAATACCATATTTGTGTATTTCTTTAAATATTATGAACATATAAACTCATTACAGAAAGTACAAGACAATACATACTGTCATTTTCTTTGGTTCATAAGGATCTGCAAAGCAATGTCTGTAAAGTTAGAAAATGAAGTGATTCACACCTGCAGTGTGTATTACATGAACCATCTTGAGCTTCTTTTGATGGCCCATAATTCAAAAAGTATTAGACTTAAACATTTGCAATTTTGCATGTTGAATTATGCCTCCTAAATAAATAGAATTACATTATAGTTCTGGAGTTATGAAGGGTTAAAATGTTTTTGATTCTGACTCACTCATCAATAATAAACCACTCAGAAACTTGAAATATCAGGTTGATCATTAGGTGTATATAAAAGAAAAAAATCTGGAAACTAAAAATTATTACTATTCGGTATCAACAAACTTATTGGTGTGGTCAGTTTTAAAACTTAGTAATACTTATAATTTAAATTAAAAAAAGAAAATGCAAGAAAAATGTTGATGGTCATGTATTTGTTTAAGACTAGCGACCCACCCCAGCTTTGCCTGGGTGGGATCTATTAATGTGGAATTATTTAGATTAAGATAATCATTAAAGACAATTAAATTATTGTTTTGAGTAAATATAGTCCATATCACCAGGCATTGCTTTCTATCTTTTCGTGAAGTTTCATTACAATTTGTTCAGCCACTCCAAAGATTAGCCCAGGCTGACAGATAGATAGACAAACAAAAAAGTTAATATTGTTTACTTATGTCTCAATGGCGTGCAAATAGTACCTTCAGCTCAATAAAAGGCAGTTATTTTTATATTACAGACATACACTTCAACTATATGATGTAATTAAAGAATAAAACTTTTTTGTTAATCTTACTCTTTTATAAATTTTAATTAAATATATTATGACCATTTCATTTACTGTAGTTGGAATGCTTGACAGGAAGATTGGCAACCACAGTTTTCTATTATTTTGAGGTGTTATCAGGAATATGCTACTTACGAATTTCCTGTTTCTGTTTTCCTTTAACTTAATTATCCCTGTTGAAACTTGCCAAGTTATAAATTCAATATCAAAGAACATAACAAAATTACTTTTGAATCAATTAAAAAAAAACTTGTACATGTTCATAGCTACAACTTAAGGAATTGCTATAGACGTTCACACCCATTCAGATCTCAAGTGTTTTATCGGTGAAGCTGACAACTCCGAACATTTTATGTACTACTGAACTTGGCCCCCTTTTTACATTTGTTTTTTGTGGGATGAGTACTTACATCGTCACCTCTAACAGCTGAACATATTATGTATTTCCTAAGGAATTTGCTTAGCTTGATAATCCTGCTCTCATAGCCTCTCATAAATTAAAGGAGACGTGTGTTTCATTATTTAATTCTATTTTAAAGTTACAAAAAGGTTTTATAGGTAAAAGCAAAAACTGTTTATAAAAACTGAATTCGGTAAACTATTTCTCTGAACACAATTATTGTTGTAAAATTAATGCTTACACAAATACAAAAAAGGTCACTATTATTTTGCAAATTTTTACACCTACAAAATTAATAAAAGGGATGCTTAAAGGCCACCAAATAAAATAAATATTACATATAGTTATTTTTATGTGCTTGCTGATCCTTTGGCTTAACTTTGTAACAATTGCTAAACTTATAAATTTTTAACATTTCAGGTGTTGGTTCACGGTCTTACTGACACTTGTTGGGAGACGTGTATGGGACGGCCATCCAACCGCCTCGATTCCAAAACAGAAACATGCATTACTAACTGTGTTGAAAGGTTCATTGATGCTACAACTTTTATCACTAAACGACTAATGAATACAACAAAGTACCGTTCTGACGCACCTCTTGAATTTCAATAAATTTATATCTAAATATTAAAAACCATCATGTTTTCAAGCATCAGAAACTTTTTGCATAGACACAGAAGAAAGCTTATTGTGACTGGTGCTGTTTTTGGTACTGTTTATTTGCTGATGAGCTATGCCCAAAAAAGACTAAGAGAATGGCAGGAAAAAGAGGCCAAAAAATTCTTTGAAATGACTCGAAAAAAGCAACACTTTGAAAGCACTGAACGCACATGTAATCAGACAATTCTTTCTTTATCAAAGATTGTATCTGAAAGTATATTGAGTGTACTTAACACTGAAGAAATTGTACAAAAGCTGAAAGAAAATCCTGAGAACAAATTGTTATTATGGGAACAAATGAAAGTCATGATATTTACACGGATATGTGTTTTAGTTTATGCACTATCTATTTTACAGGTTACTTTAAGAGTTCAACTCAACATCATTGGTGGTTACCTGTATCGAGATTCCATACATGAAGAAGAACCTCTCATCAGCAGTGAACTGCAAGCAAAATACTTGTCTTTATGCCATCACTTTGTAGGACAAGGAGTAGAAGATTTAGTCAAACAAATTGAAAAGGCTGTGAAACGAGTTGTAGAACCAGTATCATTAAAAAAGAAAATAACATTACAAGAAGTGGAGCGAATGTTCTGGTCCATACAAACAATATTGTGCACAGACACATCTGAGGGTGATCCTGTAAAGAAAATGGTTCACTATTTGGTACAACACACGGAAATAACAGATGCAAGGTTGGATACTATAGTCAAAGAAACAATGGATGTGTTGGAGAGTGACGAAATTACTACAGTAGCAATGTCAACTGTGAGCAGAAGTTTCTCCACTGTTGTGGATGAAGTTGCTAACTTGTTTGCAGTGAAATCTGCACCAACAAATAAAAACCATTTGGAGATGGTGGAAGATCATGTTGTGACTAATGGAGCTTTAAAGCTAGGGGCTAAAGTAAATTCATTTATTGATGTAAACAAAGTAGAAATTCATTTTGTTAAACTTTTGCCAGTAATCAATGAACTCATTACAAAGAATACTTGTAAAGGCAATAGCAACATTCCAGATTTGTTAACTCAGCAGTTAACGCTAAATGACAAGTTAAAACTATTAGGTGCAAACATTTATGAAGTGTTTAGCAATGCATAAACTATTATCAACATGATAATTTATGGAACATGAATGAACTTCAAACATATATTGCAATTTGGGAAATGTGGTTTAGTTTAAGTTAATTAAATGTAATTGACTATCAGATGAACAAAATAAGACTTGAGGTTTCAGTCATTTCCACTATTGTTCAGTTATAAGTAATTTCACTATCTTTGATCTGTCACAATAGTTTTTATACTCTGCAAATGGTCAGAAGATACATAATGGATTTATAAATTATTTTATAAGTGCCTCATGTTTTCAGGGAATGAATAAATAAAGATTATATTAATGTTATTCTTTGTTATTTAGCATTATTATCACCTTCACTCAGTTATGAACATAGATTTTAGAGAGGTTTTAGTGATTGAGCAGGAAATAGGAATAAATAATATAGTATGATCTTGTTAATATTTAAGTTAATTGTAAATATTCATTAAATAATAATTTTATTAATAATACTGTAATGTAAATGTAATAATAATAATAATAATAATCGAACGCATGGCTTCAACGTGGTGAGTTTTTCCCTGAGACTGAGGGTTTTATGTGCGCAATTCAGGACCAAGTCATAGAAACACGTAATTATCAAAAGCACATCATTAAAATAAAAAATCTCCACGCCGACACATGTAGACGTTGTTTTAATGCTTCTGAAACAATCCAACACATCACTGGTGCTTGTAAAGCGATCGTTCAGACAGATTATAAGTATCGGCATGATCAAGTAGCCAATATCATCCACCAGAAACTTGCCCTTAAGTGGAAACTAACTGACCAACCTACTCAAGTATACTATAAATATAAACCTGAAATAGTCCTTGAAAATACCACTCACAAAATGTATTTTGACAGAGCTATACTTACCGACAAAACAATACACTATAATAGACCGGATATAACATTAATAGACAAAGTGAATAAATCTGCTTTTATTATTGACATTGCTATACCTAATTCACATAACTTATAGACTACAATTAATGAAAAAATTTCCAAATACATTGATTTAAAACATGAAATTATTAGAATGTGGGGCTTACATAATGCCATTATAGTACCTATAGTCCTCTCTACAACTGGTGTCATACCAAAAGCGCTTCATCAATCATTAAAAACTCTTGATCTACCAAAACTTACATATATTCAATTGCAAAAAGCAGTTTTACTTAATACTTGTAGAATAGTTAGAAAATTTATCTCAACAGATAACTACCCATAACAAAACACGTTCATGGTACCCACTTGACTTAGTCCCGTGGTAGTAACCATTAATCCAGTTTTGTTAAAAACAAACTGAGATAACGTAAACACTTTAAATAAAAATAATAATAATAATAATTATTATTATTATAATAATAATATTATAATAATAATAATAATATACTGGGACTCCGTGACGGACCGCTCCAAGCTCAAATGCAGAAGGCGGTGCTCCTCGATACCGCCCGCATCGTCCGCCGGTTTCTTTCCCTTTCCCCCTAACCCTCGGCCGTTTGGTCTCCCCTGACGAGGGCTTCCATCTGGTTGGGGTTTTTATTTATTTATGTATTTTTTATGCATTTATTTTATTTTGTTGATATTTATGTATGTTTATCATTTTCATTTACAATTATATATTTATACAGCCCAACCAGATGAGTAAACTATATAATAATAATATTAGTAATAGCCAATATTTGCAGGGTCCTTATTTTGAACTATTTTTAAAAATTAAGACCAAATGTATACAAATAAAATAGCAAATAAACTTAATTGAATTGAGGTTACAGTCCTAAGTTTGTCAATATGACTGGATTATCAGTGATTATGAAATTAAGAAAAAAAAATCTATTATACAAGTAATGAACGTCAGTGTGGCTATATCACTCTACTTTTCGTAATAATATGTTTATCATTGATATTGCCAAATCAATTATGTAGGTTCGAATGTCAAATCAAACTGTTACATTTGTATTTATTTTACTTACATATTTAGATTGCTTTAAATTTGCTAAGGGAGCCGTTGTTCTTTTATAGAATTGTTAAAAAACCAAATGTGCATTATAAACTTGCAAATTAGATGGTGTTAGAAACAAAAAAAAAACCAAAAAAAGGCTATTCATAGCAAAATTTCCCTCAGAAGATGAAAGGCATATAGAGACTTCAAGTTTAATTGTAATATAATAACCGGAGACTAACCATCTACGTAGGACAGATTTTTATAGTGTACGATTGTGTGCGCAAATACAACACTCCATTTCCTAACTCATATAGCTCGATGGGATGGCAATCCGAAACAACCGGAGAGAGATCAGGCGCAGGACCAACAGTTCTACGTACTTTCCGAGGCACGGGTGTGTAATACCGGCAACTTCCCAACTCCAGGATGCTTCTGAGAATTTCTTGACAGAAAAATCCAAAAATTGATTTGGGCCCGACCCGGGACTTGAACACCTATCCACATGATCAGTGGTTGCGCTTACGACTTGTGGTGGACCAACGAAGTAGTTATTTGTCGTAATAGGTGGATATACTTAGAAACTATAGGTATTATCAATAGAGTATTTTGCTGCATGTTAAAAAAAATACGTACATATGTAAAAATGCACTATTTTCTATTGGACAAACTTAGTCACAACTATGGCCAAAGGGTATATATATATAGGTAGGTCAAGCCAAAGATAATTTTTTTAATGATTGTAAGTATAACTTAAAAGCCTATTACACTATGCAGTATCAAGAGAGTCTTACTAAGATTTAGCGTAGTGTAATAAGAGTAAGCAAGTTAGTCTATCTAATTGGACGGACCGAGTGGGATCGGCCGTGCTTGCTGGCTTTCTTGCTGAATATCGTGTGGTGTAATAAGACTTAGCACGCTTAGACCGTTTAGTGAGCGCGCGGCAGCAGCAGAGTGAAGTCACGTTTTTGTTTGCTGTGGCGTGCACAATGGCTTGCTCAAAAGAAAAGGAAGTGTTTTTTAATCTTATTGATGTGTAACGTGACATCATACGTGGTAGAGCTATGCTGCAGCTGTATTAGTTGTAGCACGAATGGGTCGGCTCGACCGGGGAAGGACCACGCTCTCACAGAATACCAGCGTAAAATGGCAGCTTCATACTGTTGTGTTTCGTATGGTGAGTGTAGAGAACCGGAGACCCATTTTATTGGAAAAAAGGCATTCCATCTTAGTCCTCACGGGTGACAACGCATGTACATTTTGATTCTTTATTGAGGATAAATGTAGATGTCTATGGGTCACAGCAACCACTTACCATCAGGTGGACTGTGTGCTCGTTTGTCACCCTATCCTAAAAAAAAGACATGCCATATTCATGGCAGAAAAATCACAAAGATTATTTAAACCAATCACTTCGTGCAGAAGGATTCCGGGTGTTGTTAGCACTTTATAAAAACTTCGATGGAAAGGCTACAGTGAAAACAAAAAGAAGCATATCTTCCTTTTTTTATACAATAAGGGTAACAAACGAGCACACAGTCCACCTGATGTTAAGTAGTTGCTGTGGCCTATAGACATCTACATCTTTTCTCGATTACGAATCAAAATGCAAATGCGTTGCAAGTATGAAATCATCCTTTTGAATATACGAAGTAACTAATTTCAACAGATATTCAATCTCAGCAACCCCTACTCTAAGGTAGTTTCTTAAGTCAGATGGTTCCAAAACACTCAGTATTGGCCAAGGAGGTTAATCTCGTTGATATTTGCATATTTGATAATTTTTCCCGTAACAGTAAATAATCCTTCAACCATATTTTTCTTTTCTTTTTTGTACTCCAAGTAATAGACGCGACAAGAGCTATGGCGATTTTCTGGTGCTTCGAAAGCTTCCCATGACACCGCGACAACCGCCACCGGCTACGTAGGCCTTGCAAATGATTTAGCATGCGGTATTCAGGGCGGTGTAATAGCGAGCTTGTCTAATTAGACTTTAAGACAGTCTTAATAAGACTGTCTTGATACTGCGTAGTGTAATAGGCCTATTACGAGTCATTACTATATTCTTATAATGGAGTAAAGGAGAACCATCTCATATGGGGGGAAATTTGAAAAAGTGCCCAACTGTATACTGAAAATAGAGGTTCCAAAACCTACCACAGACGCCAGGTCTGAAAAATTACGATATGAACATAGCTGTTGTAGACGGAGTGAAGTCAGCTGAATTCAAATATTTAAAAAATTTCATGACTAGAGTAGTTAGTAAATTTCCAGCATTGAGTTATAATACAAGACTAGAGGAGCAAACCACATTACCGCGCGTCGAAAAAAGTGAAACCACTATCTAACCGCGAGTACGTAGCTTTGAAACCACTAAACCTTTTTAAGTAAGCATATATCTGTCTCACTTACACAAGTCGCGAAAACAATACCTTCGCTAAAATTAGATAAAGACAGACACACAAACATGCATTGACGGGTTGTATTACCTACTATATGAAATTTTACCCAAAATAAGCAATAAAAAGGAATATTTTTTAAACTGCACTTATTTGTTTTTATTTTAAATTTGTATCTTTGCTTATCCGATGAATAGAAGTATAACTAATGAAATGAAAGATTTTTTCGAAGTATCTTTTATTGTATTAATAAATCAAACAAAAAAAAAATCAAGTAAAAAATCAATTTTAGATTTCTTAACCAAGAAGATCTGAGTTTGAAATATGCATCAATTGTGAAAGCATCGGCAAGTCTTTGTCTCCTAAATTTGGTCGCACGCCATTAGCTACAAAAACTGTGGTTATTAATAAATTTTTAAGAAAATACTAAATGGTGTTAATCTGTAGTACTAATCCGCTTAAATAAACACGGTCGCCATCGCTTTTTGGTCCTAGTTTGTCTTGATCCCGGAAGTGCTTAGAACTAATGCAGATTTCGAAGGCACCCAGGGAGTCTCCTTTCTAGCTTAAAATCAGGGCTAACAAGTTAACTTATTCCATAAATTATATAGTCGTAGTAGTGTAATGTGGGAAAATTGCAAAGGCAGAAAAGTGGCAAC